AAGGGAAAAAAGAAAAAAGAAAGAAGAAAGAAAAAAGAAAGAAAAAGAAAGGAAGAAAAAATAGAGAAAGAAAATATAGAAAAGAAAGAAAGAGAAAGAAAGAGAAAATATTAAAAAGAAAAGAAAGAGAAAGAAAAGATAGAAAAGAAAGATAATAGAAAGAAAGAAAAGAAAGAGAAAGAAAAGATAGAAAAGAAAGATAATAAAAAGAAAGAAAAGAAAGAGAGATAAAAGAAAAGAAAGAGAAAGAAAAGATAGAGAAGAAAGAATGAGAAAGAAAGAACGAGAAAGAAAATGATAGAAGAGAAAGAATAAGAAGGAGAAAAAAAAAGAAAAGATAGAAAAGAAAGAAAGAAAAGATAGAAAGATATGAGAAAATAAAGAGAAAGAAAAATACAAAAGAAAAAAGAGAAAAATATAGAAAAAAAAGAAAATAAAAAGAAAAGAAAGAAAAAATGAAAAAGAAAGAAAAGAGAAAAAACATGGAAAAGAAAGAAATAGAAAGGAAGAGAAAGAGAAGAAGGAGAAAGAAAGATAGAGAAGGAAAAAAAAAGAAAGAAAAAGAAAAAGAAAGAAAAGAAATAGAAAGAAAAATAGAAAGAGAAAAAGAAAAAAAGAAAAAAGGAAAGAAAGAAAAAATAGAAAGAAAAAGAAAGAAAGAAAAGGAAAGAAAGAGAAAGAGAAAGAAAAGAATGAAAAAAGAGAAAGAAAAGGAAGAAAGAGAATCAAAAGGAAGGAAAAGAAAGAGAAAGAAAAGAAAGAAAAAGGAAAAGAAAGGGATAGAAAAGAAAGAAAAAGAGAAAAAGAAAGAGAAAGAAAGGAAAGGAAAAAAAGGAAAGAAAGAAAAGAAAGGATGAGATAAAGTAACTGCGTCGGTTCGTGAAATTATCTGCATGTCACCTTCAATTATGCAGGCTTCCAGCTACTTTAAAGGAATGCTGTGAAGCCCAGAGATTTCTGTGACAGAAAGGTGGAGTAGCCTTTCCCCCTTAAACCTGCTGAGCTTCATACAATGGCTGTTGGAAACTATGTGGAACAATTTTGGACAAAAAATAATTCAAAAGTAAATCACAAGCATATCTCATTTTTTTTTTTTTTTTTTTACTTTTTAATAACTGCATTTGATTTTAATAGCTGATTTTTAAGAATTACTATCTTTGTGTACTTTTCAGTTTTTTTCCAGCACCAGGAATGTAGACTGCATTTTCTTATAGGTCTTTCAGTATCATTCTGCAAATATAGTACTTACTGAATTCAAACTTTATGTAATGAAGCTGTTGTATTATTTCTATAAATAATCAACATTTCTTATGTGCTCCTTAATATTTATCTTTTTTTCCTAATATAGACATCGTTATATTTGCAGGCTAAATTTACCTTGTATTAATGAGCCTTTGAATTGAAAAGCAGGTGTGTAATTTATTGTTGTGGAAATAATCCCAATTCTTTACAAATTAAGTCAATTAGAATTTTATTTTTCTTTCTCAGAGAATGTAAAATGAATGTGAATTTGGGAAAGTAAACTAGAGTAGGCACTCTTAGAAACAGTGGAAAGACAGGATTACTTTTTCCATTTGTCTCCCAATGCAGTAAGATTTTTGTACTTCTAGTGATGAGAACACAGAAAAGGATGTTATCAGATCCTATAAGCCTGCGATGAAGCCTGGTTACATCTTATCAACGTGGAGTTTCTCTTGTGGTTTACAGACTGTCAGGAGCCAGCCACTCCTTGCCACCCCACTGTGACATGGATTCGTGTAGCTCCGAGGAATTCTACCAGGCTGTTCACCATGCAGAGCAAACCTTCAGAAAGATGGAGAGCTACTTGAAGCAGCAGCAGCTCTGTGACGTTATCCTGATTGCTGGGGACCGCAAGATACCTGCCCATAGGTAGGAAATAAGCATGAAATATGGAAGTAAATGTTTTGGGTACATGTATTTCTTAGAACAGTGTTTTCTGTTGCCCCTTACACCTGCTTCCATCTTGCTTTAAACACAAATACAAGTGCTGCAAAAGGTGTATTTGAAGGTTGGGGTTTTAGTAGCTGTAATAGATGCAGAGATGTTTCTCTTCTTTCAACCATTTTCACTCTTATAACTTTGGTTTTAGTCTTCTGTCTTCTAAGAGCTGCCATTTCTCCTGTTCCTCTCGTACCTGCATATATTCAGGTTTTCTATTAGGTTCTTAGTAATTTCTACCCAGCGACCTGGCACCTGATCCAGCTTCTGTGTTCCAGGCTTTTTGCCACTGTTAAATATGTAATGCATTTAGCACCTTATGCACCCCTGGTGTCTGTGGTCTGATGTTATTTTCACCTAAATTGCCAAGATCTTTCCTTTATATTAAGTATATCAAGTACAGATGTGGTAGCATTAAACTTCAGTCCTTCTACCCACCTGCATTTATATTGTTCCTACAAGAGCTACAGGTTTCCTTAAGGTGCCTACCATCACAAAGAAAACTGTAGGGATAATAATCTAAGGCCTTCTAATTTGTGTCCAGTTTTACATTCCTATATATCACTGAAAAAAATCTTTTCTTTTCTTTTCTTTTTTTTTCCCCCATAAATAATGGGAATTTTGTTGTTCTTTCTTAGCAGTTTTTGCCTTTCCCATTTTTCAACACATATAAGGTGAAAAAGTAGAGCAAAATAAATGACTGAATCTACATTCTTAAAATGACACAAAAATACTTATTAGATGCATATAAATATTCAATAATTGGTATCATTCACCTGTTTAATATGGATGGTACAAAATAAACATTTTTTTATCCATTTACTTTTTACCTATTTTAATTATTTTGGTAAACTGTATATTTTGTAGAGTAGGATATAGAGGAAAATGTAAGTTGTTTGGGATTTTAATTCAGTTCCCCCACTATTTTTAATACATCTATTCATATTTGTATGCCCATCTTTCAGTAGGAAATTTAATTTCACATTTGTCATTTCAATTCTACAGTATATGTAAAACAGCCTTGATCTGGAAAAATACCCTAATAAGAAGACTGACCATGAAATAGTAGCCAGAGTCTATTTAGATTTTGTAATAAATCTTCAGACACCTTTACGTTTAATTTTCTGCTTCTCAGTGGTCTGCAGCTAAAAGTGCAAATCTCAAAGAACTGGAAAAGTCAACTGTTGAGTTTTGTAGAATTGATAAGACAAGATAAAATGAGGTGAAGGGTGTTCTGGATTTTTTTTTTCAAATAGTGTTTATTCTGTGTTGTTTTAGACACATGGCTGGACAAGCACAGAGAGCTGCTTATTTTTACTGTGGCTGTTAAAATGCTAGAAATTATAGATTAATCCCTCCCTGCTCAAAGCAGAATCAACTACGAGGTTAGATTAGACCATTGAAGTCATACACAGTTAGTTTTTAATATCATCACTTGCAGAGGTTCCTCTCTTCTTAACTTGCTCCAGTTTTTTATTATCCTCACTGTTTTTAGTGATCCACCATGTGGCATCGAGGCAAATTTGCTCCACGATCTCAGTGAGGCAAACCAGTCTATAGGTGCCTACATCTTTCTTCTTGAGGATGGACATGGAAATTGACTTTTCCAGTCAGTTCCAAACCTGCAATTATCTGATCTATTAAAGATAAGAGAGAGTGGCCTTTCAGTGACATTGTAGATCTTCCTCTAGAATTGCACCTTGAACTTATCTGCTCTGCTACAAGGACTTATGTATGTCCAATTCACTTAACTGCAACCTAAAGACATCTTCCTCTATTGTGAGTTATACCTTCCACAGAACCTGCCACTGGGAAGTGTGGGGTTTTTTTCATTTTCCATCTACTCCCTTTTTGCATTTGACTTTCATCAGGAGTCACTTCAGAAGTCCAGGCTTGTAATTTACTGCTCATTTTGCAAACTTTTCTCAGGATCAATTGTCTTAAATTTCATTGTCTCATGGTCACTGCAGCCAAGTTTGCCAACGTATTTCACAGATTCTTTCTTATCTCTCTCCAGATTTGTCAGGAGCAGATCCAGTAAAGTACCTCCTCTAGTTAAAGATTTCACAATTTAGGCTAGATAATATATACTTTGCATTCCTGAGAACATATAAAAAGCCTGCTTGCAGAGGACAATGCATAACCAGTATTTGTGGAGTTTTTAAATGTGATACTTCATGATAGGTAGGAATTTGGTAGAACATCTGCTGTATAAGTTTATAAAATCTTATCCTAGATAAAATGAATCCTCCTTTTAAAATCCAATTAAAACATATTACAAACCATAGGTTATACTGAATATGTAACAAATTAAGAAATACAAAATACTCAAAATTATTGCCAAAAAGTAATGGTCTACACATATTTTCTCTACTTTTTAAGAGAATAGCTTCAGAAAATGCAGTAGATTTAATCTACTGCAAAGAGCCAAATTTTTTACATCTTTCAGTAACAGGTATAATTGTGATATTTTTCTTCACTTTTCTTTGATTTAAAACAAATAAAAACAAAACAATAGTGTAAAAATCAAGTACAGAAAAATGTTTTCCAGGTTTTTTTAGTTTCTTTCCAGTTTTTTTACATATTTATTTCTTGCAAAAGAAATGGGAGGAAGTCAAATTATATATTACAGCTAGTTTTTATTGTTTGAGTGTCTCAAACAGTTTTAAAGTTCTAATGTGCTTAAGCTTTTTGTTAGCTCCTGAACATTACATTTATCTGATCTAATATTCCATTAAACAGGTTGCAGATGTGATATTTTGCATGAAGGAATAACAAAAGGAAGAACAAAACAATCCTGTATTGCAGTGATGAACAAGCAACCAAAAAGGGTACTGAGAAAGTAGGAAGATCTTTCTAGTAGGCATTTCAGAGGGAAAAGTAGCTGACATTTAAATAAATTTTAAAAATTAAGTAAACTTCATCATTTTTGTTATATTGCTAAAATATATATAAATAACAATTAAATATAAAAATTTAAATACCTTAAAGGGAGGAAGAATGCTAAAATAGTAATTTTCCTTCATTTAAGCTGTTGTGCTATTAACAATCCGTCCTAATTTATTATCAACATGGAGTTTCTAGTTTCTGCACTCATTCTAGAGTTACATGTATACATTTTCCTCATTTTCTGTTCCTGTCATTTATAATTTAAAATTTAAACCAATTATTGAAATGCTTATACTAAAACTTGAAAAAAGAAATAATTATTGATTAGAGACTGATGTAACTCACCGATACCAGTGTTCTTAGGCATCTCTTTTTCTCTCAACCTCGAGAAGGCATCCCCATCCAAGGGAGGAATCTCTACTCATACACCCCAAGAAAGGCTATGTTGCAAGAACTTGACAGTATGGAAGTCCACTGAACCTTTGCAGTATAAAGGGATTGACTGACTCTGGTGGTTGCCTCACCATCAGGATGTTAATTCAGGATATGAATTCAGGGTTGAAGCCAGACTGGTTTCAACATTGCCAGGCCAGGGATTGGAGCCACATCAGCCCACCACTGATACATTTGCAAACAGCACATTGTCTTGTTCACATTCCAGGGTGGTGGGGGGATATCCTGCTGCAATGAAAAATCTGAGTTCTTTTGCATTTTTGTTCTTTCTGATACTCAAATAAGGGCCAAGGGGGGCTCTTACGGAGGCAGAAAAGGTAGTACAGAATTATTCGAAAATTGCCGCTTACATATAAAACAAAGAAATACTTTAGTAAGTTCTTCATTTGCAAAGCCTAGCCATGATGATAACTTTAGTAAGGCTAGTTCTACAACTGGTTGGATGAAAAGTGAAGAACTTTCAACACAAATTTAAAATTTTTGTTACAAATATGGAAATAAGTTCAACTGGACTTTTTTTTTTTTTTTGATGCTCAGTTCTAAAGTAACAGATCTTTTATTTACTATCACCCTGATAAATTTAATAAAACTCTTTCAACAAACTGAGATTAGTTTTCTCTTTTTCAGTTCTCTGAGGAGTGGTGCCTTCTGTTTCAATTTTGAGTGTTATTAGAGAAACAAAGGTAAAAAAAGTAGCAATGAGAAAAATTAATAGAGGAAGTTCAGCTGAAAGGCAAGATGAAAAGATAAAGAAGCAGGCAGAGAAGGAAGGACAGTTTAGAGGCAGGGAGTGAAAGAAGAAAAATGCACAATATATAGTCCTAAGTGCTGACTTGTTTTCAAGTTTGGCAGTAGTAGCAGATGCATGTGGAAAGCATACAATAAAAACAGCCACCCTATGATCATTCTGAGATATCTGTAGTTAAGATTTGAGGAACTTCCCACATCAAACATTGCATCTGAAATGGGTTGTTCAATAAAACCTACTGTCCGTGAGTTTATAAACAATTTATTCAAGTAATGTTGTTGGAACAGAAGAACAACAACAGCAAAGATTCCTCCTATCAGAGGACAAGCAGCAAGGCAATTTAGATAAGCCTTTAATATTAACCTTGATTAATCTTGATGTGGGGATTTGGATTAGTGGCAAGTTGGATATGAGTCATCAGTGCCCCAGCAACAAAGGGCCAACTGTTGGGGATGCATCAGGCACAGCATCGCCAGCCAGTCAAGGGGGGTTATTGTCCTGTTCTACTCTGTGTTGGTGTTACTCACCTCCAGTACTGTGTGCAGTTTTGGGAGCCACAGTGTAAGGACATCACACTTAGGTTAGAGTAGGTCCAGAGGAGAGCAACTAACAAAGAGCAGCTGATGTCACTTGGTTTATTCAGTCTAGAGACTGTGACCTCATCACAGTCCACAGCTTCCTTAAGGGGAGAGGGAGCAGACGGGGAAATGTTGATCTCCTCTCTGGTGACCAGTGACAGAACATGAAGAAATGGAATGAAGCTGATTCAGAGGAAGTTCCGATTGGACATTACAAAAAGGTTCTTCACCAGGAAGGTGATGAGTTACTCCAACAGGCTTCC